TTCAAAGTCATGTCTTAGATATTCAAAACTCCTGCTAAAATATAAACTTTCTTTCTCTCTCAGGATCTGTAAGACCATTTGGGTCACAAACTCCATAACAGCCAGCCTGGTCTACAGAGAACATTCCAGGACAGCTGGTGCTACACAGAGAAACCCTATTTTGAAAAGAAATGTTTATTTATTAAATAAGTAAATATTCTCTCAACTGATACAGAAAAGCAGTCACAGCAGTAGACCGTTTGCTTGGCTGCCACACCGATGTACCGCATGCTGAGGAGTAGAGACCGTGAACGGTTGGTCCCTATCAACAGGGACACCACTGACCATGTGTTTGTTATGCGTAACATTGGAGATGCCTGTCATTCAAATACATTGGATACTTGGATAAGATGAAACTGATGACAGGTTAAGGTATCAAGGACCAGGTCTGGAAAGATGTCTCTGTTAAAGGCACTTTCTACATTTACAGAGAGCCCTGGCTCTGTTCCCAGAACTGACATGACAGCTCACAACATCTGTAACACTTCCATGGGTTCTAACTCCCTCTTCTGATCTCCAACAGCACATGCATACATGTGGGCTAAACATTCATAAAATAAATAAACTTTAAAAAGAAAAGTCCTGGAGTAATGGCACATACTTCTTATTTAAGCATTAGAGTGGCAAAAGAAGGCAGATATTCCTAAGTTTAAGACCAGCCTGGTCTACAGAGTGAGCCTACACACACATACACACACACACACACACACACACACACACACACACACACACACAATGTCAAGGACCCGGCACCTGATGACATCAGTGGAGACATACATACACCATCCCAATCCACAATGACATTTGCTGGAGATGCAAGGGTTGGCCCAGGCTAGAGGTAAGTGTCAGAGAACCACATGCCCCACACAGTCATTTTGCTGCCAAGGACACAAGAGGCACCCCACATTGGTTTCTTTGTCCTTCCCACGAGGCTGGCCCCAGTTTGTGGGCCCCTTGTACGGGCAGTGGATGGGGAGTTGGGTTTGGAGGGGAACCAGGATAGTAAGCATCAAGTTCCCAGGAAGATCCTGAGGAGAAACTCAGGGTGCCTTCAGGGAGCACCATGGATACTGAAGCTGGAAACTGATCCTCTCCTGCACCAAATATTCGGACCTTAGAGGGAGGAGGAGGAAGAGGAAGAGGAGGAGGAGGAGGAGGAGGAAGGTGATGGGCAAAAGCAGCCTCAGTGCTGGAGAGACTTCGTCTCTGGAGGCTTTGGCTACATCAGTCTAAAAGAGATGTTACTAAAAATAACGGAACCGAGCTTTTAATTCCTCTTGAGAGGCAGAAGCAGGAGGATCTCTGAATTCGAGACCAGCCTGGAAACATAGAACAGCCATAGGCTACATAGTGAAACCTGTCTCGAAAGAGAGAGAGAGAGAGAGAGAAAGAGAGAGAGAGAGGGAGAGAGAGAGGGAGGGAGGGAGGGAGGGAGGGAGGGAGGGAAGGAAGGAAGGAAGGAAGGAAGGAAGGAAGGAAGGAAGGAAGGAAGGAAGGAAGGACTAACAATAATTAGAACAGGCTGGATAGATGGTGCAGCAGCAAAGAGCATAGGCTTCTCTCCCGGAAGACCTGGGATAGATCCTCAGCACATGCGTGGTGTCTCATAAAGGTCTGTATCTCCAGTTTCAGGAAATCTGATGCCTCCCTTTTAGCCTCTACCAGCACCACACACAAATGAGGTACACAAACAAACAGGCTAAACACCCATACACATTAGTTAAATTAAGAATTGTAACTTTAATCACAGAGAAGAAAGTAAAAAGGAAAAAGGATTAAATTGGAGATCTGAAATTGTTGCTCGTTCTTCAAGACATATATAAATTGAAACAAAACTAACAGGTTTTTTTTGTTTTTTGTTTTTTTTGTTTTTTGTTTTTTGTTTGTTTGTTTGAGACAGGGTTTCTCTGTGTAGCCCTGGCTGTCCTGGAACTCACTCTGTAGAGCAGGCTGGCCTCGAACTCAGAGATCCGCCTGCCTCTGCCTCCCAAGTGCTGGAATTAAAGGCGTGCGCCACCACCGCCCAGCAAAAACTGACAGTTTTAAAACTTGAAGATCCATTTAATTGTTTTTAACATGTTGAGCAAGAGGTGGAGTAAAGCACACATACAAGTTACCCCGTGCTGTGGAGCACACATACAGGTTACCCCATGCTGTGGTGGAACTATAACCGGTGGTAGACATTTCCGTCATGCCCACGAGCAGATAATAGGAGTAAAACCATCAGCTCAAAAAGCTGTTGAACTTTTCATTCCAGGATTCCTATAAAACTTGGCATGGTGTGGGGGGCAGTGCACTGAATATCTTTGTACCTTTCCAGTGTAGCTATATTAAATAAATGTGTTTTTTATGCATGCTTTAATTTTTTTTAATATGGCAGGTGGATCTCTGAGTTCAAGGCCAGACCAGTCTACAGAGCAAGCTCCAGGACACAAAACAATGAGTCTCAGGAAAACTACAAACAAACAGACAAAACCTGAGCAAACGGCCATTCACATCCACACCAGAAAGAGGATGTCTTTGGCCCACTGAAAAGACATTTCCCAGGACTTCAGTGACTGCATACCTGGAGACAGAGGCTGGCAAAGTGGAGGATGGCCATGAAAGAGTCAGTTTCTGTTTGTTTGTTTGTTTGTTTGTTTTAATATTATTTTTTAATGTATATGAGTACACTGTAGCTGTTTTCAGACACACCAGAAGAGAGCACCTGATCCCATTACAGATGGTTGTGAGCCACCATGTGGCTGCTGGGAATTGAACTCAGGACCTCTGGAAGAGCAGCCAGTACTCTTAACTGCTGAGCCATCTTCAGCCTGAGTCAGTTTCAACTCTAACAGTAGTAATTGCCACTGGCCTGCTGGCTGAAGCTGCTAATGTGCAGTCTGTATCTTTAGTCACCAACTATGCCTGTCCCACGTGTAACCCTATCCATAGAGTTAGCCATGATGGACATTTTGGCTATAAAGATATTACATTTAAATGACAAAAGACACAAGGAGGACTCTTGGAAACACTAAGACCTTTTACAGTATTTCCAGGGAGGAGATGGATGTTCCTTGATATTACTGACCTCATCTGGCAGAGACTGCTAGGCTACCTAGCCCAGTGCAGTCACTAGAGAAGAGTAGCAGAAAGGGTAAAGGAAGAGAGAAAAAAAGTGAACACATTATCCTTTTAAAAAATTTTGGATCGAGGCTAGCCTGGTCTACAGAGTGAGTTCCAGGACAGACAGGGCTACACACAGAGAAACCCTGTCTCGAATAAAAAAATTTTTGGAAAGACAGATAAGACAGTCTCGGCCGGGCAGTGGTGGCACACGCCTTTAATCCCAGCACTTGAGCTGGTGGATCTCTGAGTTCGAGGCCAGCCTGGTCTACAGAGTGAGTTCAGGATAGCCCTGGATACACAGAGAAACCCTGTCTTGAAAAACCAAAAAAAAAGAAAGTCTCACTAGGTAGCCCAGGTTGGCCTCAAATTTATGCTCTTTCTTGCTGGCAGGCATTACAGGTGTGTACCACCAAATGGCCAACACACGTTCACTTGGGACTTCACACACTCAGAGCATCCTTCACTTCCTACATTTTCTACCTTGAGACAGGATCTCTTATTGTTCAACACTGCATACAACAACCTAACTAGCCACCCAGCTTCTATAGAGTCCCCTGGTTTTCATCCCATCTCTCTGTGGGAGCCTAGGGATTACTGAGACCTGTGTTGCTGTGTCCAGTGTTTAAGTGGGCTCTAGGGAGCTGAACTTGGGTTCATCTGGCTTATACAGCAAGCATTTAACCCACAGAGCCACACCCTTTTTCTTGGTCTTGGTTTTTGGCCTTGCTCTGGGTCACCTTCAGCTTGTTGAGGTTTTTGTTGTTTGTTTGTTTGTTTGTTTGTTTGTTGAGATAAGGTTTCACTGTGTAGTGAATCGGAAACTTCTAGTTCCTTTGGAAAGTTTGTTACATCAAATGATGTTTTGCTGGGGCACACAGGTGAATGGATGTCTTGCTAAAGCAAACACATGAAAGGCTGTTTTCCTAAAGCAGACAGGTGAAAGGATGCTTTGATATAGCAAACACATGAAAGGATGCTTGATGAGGGGTGTAAATATGACCCACAGACAGTGGGAGTTGAGCACTGAGCCTCGGTTTGGTTTGCTCTGCCTTGATTCTTCACTAAAGACACACATGTATTGGTTCACCTTACATAGCGTTGTTGAGCTCAACTTGTGACAACTCCGACATTGAGAGAAACTCGCCCAAGAACTGCTCGAGAGGTTACTGCAGCAGCTTGCCGCTTCAGTGGCCTTGCCTCAGGATGGTTGGTGAGCCTGGCAGTTTCTTCAGGATTGAACTACAGCTGCCAGTTTGTCCCTAATGTCTGCAGCTGCTGAATTGTATTTGGTGTTTGCTACAGAACTGAACTACTTCCCCCATATCCTAGTAACTTTTCTCTTCCACTACCTCTGCTGGGTGGTGGGCTAGAGGAGAGGTTGAACCCTTATTGAAAGTAGATTGCAAAAAAATTATGCCTATAGTGTAGCCCTGGTTGACTTGGAACTCACTGTGTAGACTAAACAGGTCTTGAGCTCACAGAGACCTACCCGCCTCTGCCTCCGTAGTGCTGGGTTCAGAGGTCTGTACTACCACACTCAGCCCAGTTTTCTTATTTTACAATAAAGAGGTGAGTAGGATATGATAATTCTTTTTTCTTCATCTTTTATTTTGTTTTTTTTTTAGACACAATAATTCTCAATTCTGAATGATAAGCCCCAAAGAAGTCCTCATTTGTAAACTGAGACCCAAGCACGCTGATGACATCATAGAGAGGAGAATTCCAAGAGAATAGTCAGTGCTTCCTCGAAGCCGGGGCTGTAGTTGGATTGAGCTTAGCTTTAGGAGAGCCAGAAAAGGAACGTTGGGTTCTACACTTGAGCTGTTTTTTTTTCCAGGGGCTCCAAGACAGTCATGGATCAACCTTCGAGGACAGACGAGTTAGACCCAAGCCATCGCTTCCACCCGCCATCCTCCCACCCCCACCCCCACCCCCAACCCCACCCCACACCGCATAGGCCAAGTTACAGTGGCTTTCATCATGACTCTCCTCAACATGGGATGTTCCAACAGCCATCCCAACCGTATGCTGGGTTCCATCAACAAAATGAATCCCAGCATTTGCGTGAGTTCTCAGACTTCCACGATAGTGCTTTCCCCCATCACTCCTACCAGCAGCAGGACAGGGCCCATGTTTCTACACTACCTAGTAATATCCCTCATGCTTATGGTGGGCCTCACCCCCTTGCTGAATCTCAGCACTCTGGTAGACCCCAGAGTGGATCTCATATTGAACCCCATCTTCATTCCCACCAAGATGAGCCCCGTAGGCCCAGTGAAGCTCTGTCCCAGCCCTCCACTAGCTCCCGCTACATGAAAGTCCATCACCACTACCACAGTGAGAGGCCTCAACACCTTGACCCCCAGCAGAACAGAGGGCAGTCTCAATATGCAGACAATATTTCCTATCGCTCTGATAAGTCCCGTCACCAGGAAAGATCTCGCCAGGCTGATGGCCAGAAAGCCACCTCTCACCGCGGCGAGTATCGACAGCATCATGGAGAGCATATGCATCGCAAAGAACGTATCCACCATCACCCAAGTTCCTCCCAACTCTCACACAAGTCTCACAGCACCATTGCCACCTCTCCTTCTCATGTGGGATCCAGAAGCACAGCCAGTGGGGCTCGGTCCTTCTTGAGGGCTCGACCTCAGGCTTCCAGCCAAGTTCATTCCAAGGACAGCTTGAAAGAATCAGTCTCTTGGAGTGACGAGGACCATGTTCAGAAACGCAAAAGTGAGTCTTTCCTGGGGTCCCAACACAGACTCCTACTTCCTTGATCAGATTCATACGGCTCTCACCCTGAACTGGCTTTTCAGCCGTCAGGAAGCCCAGTCCTCACTTGAGTAAGCATTCAATCAGCCACTTGCTTCGGGCTGCTCACTTTCCTGCCCCTCACTCCTTACACTGTTGGCTCTGAAAGTCTTGCACTGCCTCCTCCTCTAGTCCTTGCTTCATTCGCACACATGTTCATTTCCTCACCATTGAGGATCTAATAAAATGTAGACACATAGTCTTCCTGGGTCCTGGCAGCGCAGGAAAAAGCTAGGACAGTTGCTTCATTCACAGGGTCCAAAGCTAGGGTTGGATATAATCCCAGGCCATCTAATGACAGGAGCCTGGCATCTTGTACATCAGGAGATTTGCTTCTGTGAATTCTGTGTCCATGTTTGCCCCGCTAAACGGTTAAACACTTGCTGAGGACATATCCTGAGAACCAATACTAAAAGGAAAAGCCAACTCACTGGAAGGCATGGAGAGACCACAATGGTCAGTCTCCCAGACTCTGTGCCTACTAGTTCAGCAAATACAACAAAAGTCTCATGAATGACCAGAGAAGGACTAGTGACTTACTGAATGGGGACAGGAGTAGTAGTCAGGGGATAGGATGATTTAGGAGGATCTTAAATGGGAAAAGAGACCACCGAGAATGTGGGATAATAATAAGAATCAAGTTTCCATATGAGCATAGAGAAATCTGGAGTTGTAGGACCAGGAATGCTTAGAACCTGCCAAACCAAATTCCAAACATTGGCCACTGATGTGGAAGTTATAAGGACAGTGACCCCAAGACCAGTATAGGACAAGCAAGATAGCACATTAGTGAGTAGACAAGAGGAGGGATGATAATGATGCCCATCTGGGAGGGGACCCGGGACCACTGCATCCATCACTACTTGCATAAACATAACTTTCTGACTCCTTTACAGAGGCCCAGAGGACCCACAAGAAGGCGCACACTGGGAATATCTTCCAATTGCTATGGGAAAAAATAAGCCGTGTCCTTTTGGGTCTCCAGCAAATGATATTGTCATTGACCCAGTCCCTGGGCTTTGAGACCTTTATCTTCCTCGTGGTCTGCCTCAACACAGTCATCCTTGTGGCCCAGACTTTCACTGAGCTAGAGATCCGAGGTGGTAAGAGTCAGGTGGCCTTGTCCCTATGCTGAACAAATGACGTGGCTCCAGGTCTTCCCATGAGTCTGATCCAGTGCTAAGAGGTCTTTACAATTTATGTTAAGCCTGGCAGTGGTGGTGCATGCCTTTAATCTCAGCACTCAGGAAGCAGAGGGACTCAGATCTCTGTGTGAGACCAACCTGGTCTACAGAGTAAATCCCGTGATAGCCAGGGTTGCACAGAGAAGCCATGTCTCAGAAAAACCAAAAAACAAAAACACAAAACAACAACACCCTTATGTTTCTTCATCTTCACCCCCTGGCAACTTACTGACATCCCCAGAGGTAGAAATATTCTGAGGTCCTGCAAAAAACCCAAAAACTGTAGGCCATGCTGTTCACAATGCAGTCACCAGGTGGCAGTATGCTCTGAGTATACCACTCCTGGTGGGACAGGTGCTGGGAAGACCTCGACCAAGAGGCCCTGGAATAGTAAAAGTGGAAAGCCTGAGAACACTGGCCTCTTGAAGCCCAGGAGAGCCCGGTGACTGAAGAGTCACTCGATGCACTTCATGCACCACCACAGTTCAAGGCCGCAGTGTTAGAATGTGTTCAAAGCATTTATAAAGAACTCTGCCAAGCCTGCTTCTTATTCCTATTTTATAAACAAGAAAACCCTCAAACTGGGTGGTTAAGCCTTTAAAAGAGCTAGGGGGCTGGGCATAGGCCTTTAATTCCAGCAGAATGAAGCAGAGGCAGGCAGATCTCCATGAGTTTGAGACCAGCCTGACCTACACAGCGAGTTCCAGACTAGCCAGAGCTATGTAATGAGACTCTTGTCTCAAAAACAAAACAAAACAAGACAAAACACCAAAAAGGATAAAACAAAACAAAAAAAGTCTAGCCAGGAAAGCCTGGGTGTCTGGCCTCCACGAGGTCCTAGTAAAGAGGGAAGGAGTAGAGGGTGCCCAGGATTCTGGGGACTGTCACTGAGAACGCCTCTGGTATCCCCACAGAATGGTACTTCATGGTCATGGACTCCATTTTCCTCTCCATCTATGTACTAGAAGCCGTCCTCAAGCTAATTGGTCTGGGCCTGGAGTATTTTTATGACCCATGGAACAATCTGGGTGAGTGGGTAAGGTTGCGATAGGATGGGGAAGGGCTCTGAACTGTTTGTGGGGAGCTAAGGACAGAAAAGGGATGGGGTTGGGGTGCTGGTTTTAGAAAGCCCATGGGTCTGGGCTAAGGGTCTGTTGGGCCTCCATAAATCTGAAGCCGTGCTCTGCCCTTAGACTTCTTCATCATGGTCATGGCAGTGCTGGACTTTGTGCTCCTCCAGATAAACTCGCTCTCATATTCATTCTACAACCACAGCCTGTTCCGGATTCTCAAAGTCTTCAAGAGCATGCGGGCCCTGAGGGCCATCCGGGTCCTTCGGAGGCTCAGGTCATTACCACCAAGGCTGCTTGCTCTGGTGTGGAGATTCTCAAGGAAAAGGGAACATAGGCCTGGATTTCCAGGGAATCCATGGGAGCTGTTTCTGGGATGGTGGTGGGTTGGCATCGTGGCCCCTTGCGTGCTTGGAATAAACCTCCCTGGGGTCCATGTACAGATCAATCTCTTTACTTTCCAAGGAAGGATCAGGACTTGACTAAGTCACCAATGAATTAGGGACACCTTAAATTTTTAGCACCCAGTCTGGTTACCAGCTACAGCTCTCCGCTTCCATCCCCACTAATTTAGACTCCCTCTCCTTCACTGCCTACAGCATCCTGACCAGCCTCCATGAAGTGACCGGGACTCTGAGTGAATCTTTGCCATCCATCACAGCTATCCTCACCCTCATGTTTACCTGCCTCTGTATCCTGTGTGGTAGAGGTTGGGTGGCTGCTGGCCTAGGGCAGCTGGGTGTGGGGAGAAGCAGGTCTAGAGGGACTGAGTACAACCTGGTGGGAGGTAGTACAGAGGCAGGGGGCAGGGGGATCTGGTAATGGTTTGACCCTAAGCAGTTGCCAGTCCTCTTCTCTGTTGTGCTCCGGGCACTGTTTAAAAACTCAGATCCCAAGCGCTTCCACAACATCTTTACCACGCTCTTCACCCTATTCACCATGCTCACTTTGGATGACTGGTCCCTCATCTACATAGACAACAGGGCTAAAGGTGGGCAGAGGCCAGGGTCCAGGGCCCAGGTAGCAGACACTAATGGCTCAGTTACATCTGCCATATGGGGGCTGCTGATGCCTGCTAGAAAGGGTGGGCGTTGCCTTTTGATTGCCCGTTTCCCTCCCCCAGGTGCCTGGTACATCATTCCCATCCTCATGATTTACATCATTATCCAGTACTTCATCTTCCTCAAGTGAGGCTCCTGCTTTCCTGCCTAACTACACTATCGGCTCTTTACCTAACCCACCCCAGCCCCTCACCCTTGTCATGCCACACTGTCCCCTCTGCAGCCTGGTGATTGCTGTCCTGGTAGATAACTTCCAGATGGCATTGCTCAAAGGCCTAGAGAAAGTGAAGCTGGAGGTACCACACCCATGGGGCAAGGACAGGGGGGATGGAAGAGCAACACTCCAGGGAGGAAACCCTGGTAGAACGGAGGCCTTTTCTCCAGCAAGCTGCCCGGGTCCATGAGAAGTTGCTGGAGGACTCTCTGACAGATCTCAACAAAGCAGGTACTGACCAGTCCTTCCTCCTGCCCATCTCCTTCCCCTCTAGAGTAGCCAGGCTGCTCCAGAGGTTTAGAATCTGAGATATGAGAAGACTGTCCAAGTTTAGAACTTTGGTCCAAAGGACTCTAGACAGTCCTCTAAAAGTCAATTAAATGTATCAATTTTTGAAAGAACTTACTTGCAAAACAAATTATGGTTTATCAACTGGCTTTCATGGCCTGCAGTAGTTGGTCTTTCATGAGGCATTTACAGCATGAGACTGTCATTATGAGTCAAGTAGACTCAAGGTCACGTATACGCATCCCAACTTAAACGCCTGTAATCCCAGCGCTTGAGAGGGGGAGGCAGAGGAGAATCAGAAGTTCCGAAGCATCTTAGACTATATGAGACCCTATCAAGAGAAGGGAGTTCCAGGGGATCTGATGTTCTCTTAGGCCTCCATGGATGGGTAGGGGCACACATATAGTGCACATACATGCATGCTGACAGAACATACACACACAATTTTTTTAAAATCTTTGAGACAAAAAGAGAGAGGAAGGAAAAAAGATGCATATTAGAATCTGAGTTTCTAGACCCTGTTGTAAGATCAGCATAAGAGATTACTCACTTATGGTTAATAATTACCTTAAGTAAAAAGACAGATTGGCTCCAATTAACAGAGAGTACAAGGGAATGGCTTGGTCTAGCACTCAAATGATAACCTGGATCTGGTCGACATTTCTGCCTTATTGCCCCTTTGGTATTTATTTATTTACTTATTTATTTATTTATTTGGTTGGTTTTGTTTTTTGATTTTTTTCAGACAGGGTTTCTCTGTGTAGCTCTGGCTGTCCTGGAACTTGTAGTCCAGATTGGCCTTGAACTAAGAGATTCACCCCCTCTGCCTCCTGAATACTAGGATCAAAGGTGTTTGCTCCCACACCCAGTCCTCTCCCTTCTTGAATCCAGTAATTTGCCTGGTCATCCTCCCCCTCATGTCCCTTCTTTCCATCCAGATGCTGACGCCCAAATGACTGAGGAAGCCTTGAAGATGCAGCTTATTGAGAGAATGTTTGGCAACATGACAGAGAAGTGAGGAGATGGAAGGAAGGCAGGGGTGGGGGTAAGGGGAGAGCATCCAGGGCAAGAGGTTTGGAGGCCAATGGTAGGATGGGAAGCAAAAGAACATTGCCTGTCTGTCTTGGGTGGAAAGAAGTAGGTGGAGGGCTAAGGCTTGTTTCCAAGGCTACAAATGGGATATGGGAAACATAAGCAGCCCTGGACAGTGAGGAGTGGTTCCAGCTTGCAGAGGACTTGTGTTAGCTGGACTACAAGGATCATACCAGTAGCAGAGCCCCCCACCTTGTATGTGTGTATGTGTGTGTGTGTTTTGTTTTGTTTTGAGACAGGGTTTCCCTGTGTAACCCTGGCTGTCCAGGAACTTGCTCCATAAACCAGGCTGGCCTTGAATTCCCAGATCCGATTGCCTCTGCCTCCCAAGTATTGGGATTAAAGATAGGTATCACCACTGCCCAGCTTCTCTAAAGTATCCTGACCTTTGTCAGATGCAGGCTCTATGAGGGTGCCAGGGACCCAAAGAGAAATTCTACTCTGTTATTACCACTCCTGCCCATACTGCCAGACTTTTTGGTGGGTCACTGACAAGTTTCAGCCAAGTGGAAGGTTGAAAGGTACTGTGGAGAATCATGTGTTCAAGGTCTGGAGATCACACAGTGAAACCTCAGCAATACCCATCCCTGGCCAGGCCAACTGATGATCCTCGGTGAAGACTAGGGTTCTTGGCAACAGGCTGCTGTGACTTGGTTCTCAGGCCTAGTTCTCTTGAGGTTCCCTGTGGCAGCCAAACCCTGTGCTCCCTCCTTGCAGCCAGTCTGGCTCCAGATCACTATACAGGTTACAGCTGCAAGCTGATATCCTCTGGACTCCACTCACCATGACAGAATCCAATATCTGCAGCCTGGCATTCAGAGGTTTTTTGTTTTGTTTTTAAGAGTTCTGTTTGTTTATTTAAAGACAAATTGTAAAAAGGAAGACGAATGAAACCAGGTGAGATTAAGATACATTAAACAAACTGCGATGTAGAAAAAGGGACTTGCTGGAAACATGAAGAACACTGGAAATATTTCACAGACACACAGAAGGCTCACACTGTCGATAGGGTTAAGCTGCTATGAATTCTCCCCAGAATGTCAACGTTTCGTTTTGCTCAGCCTGAGATTTTGCTCAATTTCAAACTGCCTGTGGTCCACTCGATCCACAAAGCTTTCCATTCGGTGTACCCTTCTTTCCCTCGGTTATGGGTGGCCAGCTCTTCGCCAATCCCTTCTTCCTTCTTAAAGCTCTCCCAATCCAATTTGGATTTCTCAAGGGTGCTCGTTTTCTGAGTTTTGGCTCCAATTTTCCCTAAAAGGCTGCTCATACCACTTGTTCTTTTTATCCATGACCCAGCAGGGAGTGTTGTCACCGCTGAAGTGACAAGAGCCTGCAGTTTTTCTTTTTGTTTGCCTGAGGAGTCTTGGCTTCCTTGGATGCGGCATCTACTTCCTTAGTGAGCCTTACTTCTTCACCAGCAAAGTCAAACACCTTGGTAATCTTCACCTTTTCTGATTCTTTAGGTTTCTCTAGCTCATCTGCTTTGGCCAGTGGATTATTTGAGCTAGTAGTCTCTTCAGTCTCCTCTGCTACCTTAGCTTGCGAACTTGGGACGGCTTTTGACTTTGGTCTTACATCATTAAGGAAGTTGGCCCACAATTCATCTTCCTCCTTCTTCTTCTTTGCATTCTCTGACCAAAGGCCTCCTTCTTGCTCCTTTTCATCTTCTTCACTCCCCCTACCTCCAGAGTCCTCCTTGCCATCTTCCTCTTCGTCTAACAAGAGGCCATTTTGTTTCCTCTTCCAGGCTGGAATGCTCTGAGCCGTCCTTCTTTCCCCTTTGGTTTTCTCAGCCTGCTTGTCACCATCCACTTTGTCTTCCCTCACTAATTCACTGACATCATCTTCACTGAACTCTCCACCTGACAGCACGCAGTCCTCATCCTCGTCTGTTGTGGAGAAGTCTTCAGAGTCGAATTCTTCCATGCTGCTGTCACTGGGGCCTGCTACCCACACAACTGCAGCCACTGCCCCAAAATAGCAAAGCTCTAGGGAGAGACCATAGAGGTACAGGATCCAGCAGCTAGGGCTGCCCTACAGGCAAGCACATTCAGAGTTCTATATGACTGGGGTAGTATTAGCGTCCCTCAGATCACAACCATTGCTACCTATGGCATAACCTTGTTTTGCCCACATTCTTTTCTAAAATGACACATGCACTATTGCCAGGCCTCTCCCTACACTGTTGTTTTTTTGGTGAGATATTGATACCAGGCTTAGATGACCAGTATTTGAGAGAGCCAGTTTAAATTTCTACCTACTGTCACCTCCTAGGTCACTCTCCTGTTTATCTTAATGTTCCAGGATCTGAGCCACCATTGTGGCCTCTGCCATACTTCTTTCGGGGGTATCAACCCTACTGGTCTACCCCCACTTAGAGTATCTCTCAGTATAACTTTATTTTTTTACTCTCCATTGGGCTTCAGCTCTGATCCTAGACCTTCCTTTCCCCTCTGGATAAAGTCCTGGCTACTTCCTCTACAAGGGCCCTAGGCATTGTGTTGACACGTACAATGGGTTGTATTGTCTGGGTCCAAGTGTGATGCCTCTTTCTTGTTCATCTCAACATCCTTGAAGCAACCTGCTTTTCCTATTCCCAGTGTGTCTGGGAAAATGGATTGATAAGACCCAATGAGTGGACAAGTGAGTGAGAATGAACACAGGGCAGTAAATGTGGAATGGATGGTTGTTTAGACTGGGTGGGTGGATCTGAGGAAGAATGGGTTGGGGAGGGGGCGGTAAGTGTGCAGTGGTTGGATGGGCAGGTGGTTGAGGGGTCTGTGGAGAGGCTTGTGTAGATGAATGGGCAAGATGAAGGGGTGGGTGGCTAAAAGACCAACCATTGCTGATGCCTTTATGGCACAGACACACACAGGCTCTTTGGGTTTTGCCAAACAGTCAGACACATCAGGTATAATGGTATATGCTGGTAACTTCAGTTCCTTGAAAGGCTGAGGCAGAAGAATCACAAATTCAAAGCCAGTCTGGGCAACTCAGCGGGAAACTCATTTAAAAATAAAAATGCAGGGGCTAGAAGAGATGGCTGTGTTTGGATCCCAACACACATGTATAAGACTAGGTGTCACCATGCACTTCTGGACCTGCAGTCCCAGTACTGAGGAGGATGTAAAGTCAGGAGAATCCCTATGGCTTGCTAACCAGCCAGTCTAGCCAGTCAGTGAGCTCCAGGTTCAATAGTAGACACCATCTTAAAAAGTAAAGTAGGAAACAATAGAGGAAGACAACCAGTGCTGACTTCTGGCCTTCACATGCACACTCTCATGCGTGCTCACATGTACACACTCATGTGTACCCCAATGCACACATTCATGTGTGCCCACAGGCACATGTGTACACAAATATATACACATTTACAAAATAACAAAAAGTAAAAAAGTAATATCTAGAGAAGGAGACATACTGGAGATAGGCCTCTAGGTCATGGCAAGGAGCCATGTTCGGTCCCTAGGAGTCTAGTCCTTGCCTCTGCCCAACTCTAGGCAGCGGGAGCGCCACTTCCAGTTCCTGCAGTTGGTGGCAGCGGTGGAGCAGCATCAACAGAAGTTTCGTTCCCAAGCATCTGTCATCGATGAGCTTGTAGACACTGCATTTGAGGTGAACCAGGAAGGAGAGGACTGGGGGCAGGGGGAGTAGAAGCTCTTACTCAAAGGGGGTTCTGAGTAACAGTGGCATGGTGTTGGCAACGGCTGGCCCTGGCTCATTCACACACACCCTATCTGACCCTACAGGCTGGAGACGACGATTATGGGAAGTGACTGTGAAGAATACTGACTTGAGTTTCTGGCACACTGCCTACCAGAGTGGGCTTGAACAAGGCCCTACCAGAGTGGGCCGGAACAAGGCCCTAATGCTGCTGGTATTTTCCAGACCCATGTTGGACTGAGGTCCCAATAGAGTTTTTAAAACCCCAGGGGGCTCTGTGTCCTCACTAGCTATCCTGAAGCAAAGGTCAAGGGGAGTCGAACAGTGTTGAAAGTTGCGTGTGTAAGGGGCTCTTCTTGGATCTCCTCTGGCCTTACCAGGTCCCAGCTTCTCAGTATAGTCCAACAGTGCATTAGCAGTGATCAGAAGAGCAGTGCAGAAAAAGGGCTCTGGGGAGAGGACAAAAGACCAAATGTGGAGTCCTTAGACAAAGAGAGCCTGTCTGGCCTGGGGTTAGGAGAAAAAAGAACAGACTGAAACATCTCAGAATTTTCAGGATTGCATCAGAGGCCAGGTATGGGGCCCAGCACCCAGGAACTGAGGCTTACCAGGAACCCCAACATTTAACATAAGGGTAGCAACTTAGTGGGAATACTAAGAACACATATGGATAGTTAGTGGCACATGTCTTTAATCCCAGCACTGGGGAAGCAGAGGCAAGTAGAAATCTGTGAGTTCCAGGCCAGCCTGGTGTACAGAATGAGTTCCAGAACAGCCAAAGCTACACAGAGAAACCCTGTCTTGGAAAAACACAAAACAAACAAAATCCTCAAAAACCCAAAGGGCTAGGTATGTTGGCACATACCTTTAACCCAAGTGTTTGGGAGGCAGAGGCAAGTGAATCTCTGAGTTTGAGGTCAGTCTGGTCTACAAAACAAGTTCCAGGACAACCAGGGCTACACAGAGAGACCCTGTCTTGAAAAACCAAAACTAAATGAAATTTAAAAAAAAAAAAAAAACCCAGAGAGCGAGAAGAGCCATGGAGATGGCTTGGATCTTAGAGGAAAAGATCACTTGCTGCTCTTCAGGCGGACTCAAGTTCAGTTCTCAGCACCCACATCACACTGCTTACAAGCACCTATACCTCACTTCCAAAGGATCAGACAGTTTCTTCTGGTCTCCGTGGGCACTGGACTCACACATACAATCCACACAAAGACATACACACAATAAAAATAGAAATCTTTAAGAAAAAAACCTATAAGTTAAAGGTCATTGACATCACCTTCCCCACTGAAGTAAACCCACAAAACCTTAGTGGAGGCCTAGGGAAGGCCTCTTATCCTTCTGATATATGGGGACAGGGCCATGTGACAAGGACCAGTTGCTGTTGGGATAGGGTCAAAGGAAATGGCTGCTTCTGTCCAGCCTGCTTTAGGGCTCAGATGAGTCCCGCATGTGCTGCTAGAGCTCGTGTGCACAGTGGGACTGCCGGTGAGACTCTTGTCTATACTAAACACTGAGTCAAGGTGAAACTCAGTTCTGGCCCAGGGCCTCCCCATCAAGGATTGGCCATCTTCCATCATTTATAACCATATTACTCTTAGTAGAAGCCAATCTAGAGGGTCATGGAAGCTGGAGGAACCCCAGAGTGGGCGGCTGGAGGATGGTGGTTTGACCAACACCCACACTCACCACTGGTCTGGTCCAGGGCAGCAGCTCTTTCTCCGGAAACTTAAGACAGCATCACTTGGTGGAGGCTTCTCCCTAACCTTGCTTAGTCATGCCCAGGCCCAGGAACACATCGAGCAGAGGAAATGCCATCAGTGATTTGGGCACTCATTCCAGGGGTGGAGAAGCCACAAGAGACAGATGTCCTGACTCTTGCCTCTCCCTGGGCTTCACACATTCATTCAATAAGTATTTCCTGTCACCTGCCCTGTACAGTTTCCATGCTTGGTATCCTCTGTTTGATGGAACTTGGAAACCTTCCAAGTAGTGACGGGACTGCACAGACTGCTCCGCCACAGTATCAGGTTCTAGCAGAAGCAGGGCTGCAAGTTATCCCCTCTTTCAATATCAAATCCAGCCCCTCAGCATGTCAGGCCTCCCAGGTGTGTGTTGTCAGGCTTTTCAGATGGCACTCGGCCTCCATTCCCACCATGATGTGGCCTTTGAAGGCAGTAGACAGGACCCCAGCTCCCCTGATGTTCATGAGGTCACAGAATTGGAGTAGGAGGGTCAGACAGGAGCAAGTTAGGTGTGAGACCTTTCTTAGGAAGGAGGTATGAGATAGTGAAGAGCAGTGGTCTGGTTACCCTCCCTACCACCCCTGTGATGCCAGCTTGAGCCTAGCACCTCCTGGTGCTCCCAAACCAACTGATGACTATGGCCTGTTCCCAGGGTAAATGTATATTAGTGTATCTGAGCAAGACTTCTGGACGTGATGTAAGTGCTGGGTTGGGGGGGGGGGGAGGTGTGCTGTATACTCATCTCTAGGTTACTTCCTGCTTTTCCAATGTGCATGTAGTCTGCCTGGTGTCTCTGCTTGTGGGTTTCTAGGCTGTGTTGCTAGCATCTTCAGGACATGTCTACAAGCACCCGAGTGGGTCCTGGGACTGCCTCCCCTCACTCTGTTTGACAACAAGAATTACTACAAAGAATCTGTTTCCGTTAGTCTAACATGACATTGATTGGTTCCTGTCCCTCCTGTGAGAGTGACCCCTCCAGGATAGCGGCTCTCGTTCCCTCTGGATATTTATGGGTCAGGTTCCTGTACAAATCTTGCCCAGAGGAAAACTGAGAAAATACCTCTGAGAAGGATGTGAGTGGCATGCACTGGGTTCATGATCTCTGGCCTATGGGAGCTCAGGAGAGAAAGTCACCTCCAGCCACTATTATGCACAAGAATATCTGTGAGCTGTGAACCCAGTGCCGTGGGGCCCATGGAGCTGAGCAGCCATCTTACACAACTGTTCACTACTGAGAGTTCAGCAGGACATGGGCTTCCCTTCAAGAGCTGAGAGATGAGGAGACTGGACTGGATTGGAGACTGCTTGGAGGCCCCTCATATAGCCAGAGTCATGTCCCATAAGGCCTTGTGTCAGGGTCTTAGAGGGCTGTAGTCTGGAAACTTGACATTCCCCCAGTATGTATGTGGTCAAATGTTCCAAACATGCCGGGCAGTGGTGGCGCATGCCTTTAATCCCACCACTCGGGAGGCAGAGGCAGGTGGATGTCTCAGTTCAAGGCCAGCCTGGTCTACAGAGTGAGTTCTAAGACAGCCAGGGCTACACAGAGAAACCCTATCTCAGAAAAAAAAGTTCCAGGTACTGAGACATGAAGCACTTTGTTTGCTGTCGCAGAATGCCCCTTGCTAAAGGGAAGCGTACCCTGAGTGCCCTGTACCATGCTCTCCAACGCTCTTTGCTGCTTCTCCATTCCAGGACAATCACAAGAGCTGTGCCACCCAGAAACTCACGGGCCTGAGTCATCAGCCTCTGCAGCCCTCCTGACCCCAGTTCTTGACATCCTCCTCAGAGTCCCAGCATGAACCCTGGAAAAGATGCTGGTCCGGTTCACACAGATATCCCTACCATAGCTAGTCTCCAGCATCTGTCTTCTATGTCTTTGTTTCCTCCTCCCTTACCTCTGAGACCACTGAAAATGTCTGGAAGAGGGGCTTCCATCTGAGAGCCATACCCTCATACTGCCTCAGAGAGATCAGCACGGGGGCTCCCTTAGGGGATAAAGTACCCTGTCAGCTGAGGGGTTCTGAGAGTCACTGAGAGCAGAGTGAGGGTCAGGGTGGTGAAACACACAGGAGAAACAAGTGCAAGAAGCAGAGCTGGAGATTTATTGCAGCAGATGAGGCTCATGGCCCTGAGGTGCCTCCACCATGCTTGTTCTCATGGGATTCTGATGCTGTCACCCTGGGGCCGGTCACATCTGCACGCAGTCATGCTTTAGAAGCTGAGTGGTGTTCTTCCAGGGGACTTCAAGGAGCTCAAAGTTGCAACGCAGCTTCTGGGGGTAGAGGGAGAAGCAGAGGACAAGGAGGGTGAGCTTGGCGCCAGCCTCCTTCTCCTAGCTGTCAGCTTCCTGACTGTCACATCTCTTGGAGCCAGGGACAGACAATTAGTGGTCCCAAAACATAGAATCAGAAGGTAGGAGATGATCCCAGGCTTATCAGGTAACTCCCACCCCAAGAGGAATCCCCAGTTTCTCTTTCCTGCACCCCACCCTGGCCTGAGTCACACAAAAGCCAAACAGAACAGGTGGAGCCAGGCTTTTGCCTGACCAGACAGACTAGTCAGGATGGACAACTAAGGGCCTCAGACTACACAGGCTTGGGATGGGGTCAGTGCTGTTACCTCCTGCTGTCCCCCTGCAGCCAGGGGGCAGGTGGTGAGGTCCATGTGGTCTCCAGAGACTCTGGTCTTTCTGCACTCTGTGCTCACTATGTCCACAGTCAGGTAGTACTTGATGCCAGCCACCAGCTGGGAACAAAACAGGGCAGGTGAGAGATGTCTGGGAGTCCAGCCTGTGTGTCTACTCTTTCTCTCTCCTCTACAAGTCTCCCACTCTCACAGGCAAAGGCCTACATATTCAGATCTGAGTGGAGGTAGGGGCGCTTCTATGTGTGACCCAAGGGTCGAGCAGAGCCCTTGGCTGGGAGCTGGAGAGCTCCTGTGTTAACACCTGTGTGTTAGTGGCAGCGTGGAGAGTGGCATGTGGGCCACTCCCACTCCATCTGGCTGGGTTAGGGATCTGAGGTTAGTAGCAGAAGGAGGTTGGATCCTGCATTTCTTTGATATTTAGATAATGTTGATTACCAGAGGTTTTTGCTCTTTGTTTCGTTTTGAAGTATTTTGTAGAATGGTCCGGGCGTTATGGTTGGTTTTAGTGACCCCTTGTGTTTGGTAACGAGCCAAACAGCTCTCTGCTTATCCCCCTGTCCCCTGTCCCTCTCCCTCTCCAAATTGTCCCTTTCCCTCTCCACAGCTACACTGTCTCACAATCTGTCCCAGCCACCGCACCTGATATTCTGCATCGACGACTTTGGTGTCTCGGAAGTAGTAGAGGCTGTCGCTGCCCATATTGTAGCTGGCCACAGCTGCCTGTGCGGCCTTCTGCACCCGCGGGTCGTTGGGTGACAGGTTCTGGCGTTCTCCTGTCCTGCGGCTCCGCAGCTCAGCGCGGGCGTCCGGGGACAGGGTCAGGAGGCAGAATGCGAGCAGGCCAAGGCCCATCGTCAGCGGGAAGTGAGGACGCTCCATAGCCGCTGATTCAGTGAATTCAGTGTCAGAGCTCCATCCTGCGCGGCTTTTACAGCCTTCAGGGCCCCTCCCGGCCCCGCCCACTGCCTGCTTCTTCCCCTAGCAAGCCTGGACCCGCTTGCAGGTGCCTGGAGGCGGCTGTACCTCCCCCACCTTCACATTGTAATAACCAGAGATGGCACACAGATCCCAGAACCTCTACGTGTAGGGATGCTTGGCTTATCATCCCTACCATCCAGGAGGGAGAGAATAGTTCATTCCAGGGCCCTGAAGTTTGAATTGTCAAGAGCAACTACAGTTAAGTTCTTACTGTCGTCATCATTTTCTTATCCTGTGATTTTTAGAGAAATTACAACCCCGGCCTCCATTTCTTCTTCTGAAAAATAGATGTTATTAGGATTCAATGAACTGACACAGATACAGAGCCTAGGAGAGGCCAGGTGCCATGCAAACGGTGGGTAGGGGGTAGGAGTCCTTCCTACTCAAGCCAGCACTACTGTCCACTTTGCAGAGGTGGGGACAGCACAGAAGGGAGAAGTAATTTGCTCAGTGATATCAACTGGTCCCTAGTAAGTACACTGAAGAGCCTAAGTCGTGTGTGTGTGTGTGTGTGTGTGTGTGTGTGTGTGTGTTGTAAAACAAGGATTTAAGTGTCCTATGCTGACCTTGAATTTTATAGCTCAGAATGGCTTTGAACCCCTTGATCTCCCTGCTTCTGTCTTCCAAGTGCTGGCATTACCATCATATTCTATTCGGTGTTGAAAACTGAATCCAGGGCTCATGTGTGTTAGACAAGCACTAATACCCTCAGTCTCATTCATTTTGCTGGGCTTGAACCGAGGGTCTTGTGCATGCTGGGCAAACACGTAGCCTGCAGCCCTCTTTTTACTCTTTATTTTTATTTGTTTATTTATTTTGTTTTTTTGAGACAGGGTTTCTGTGTATAGCCCTGCCTGTCCTGGAACTCACTCTGTAGACCAGGCTGGCCTTGAACTCAGAAATTCTCCTGTCGCCTCTACCTCCCAAGTGCTGGGACTAAAGGCGTGCACCACCACTGCCTTTAATTTACTTTTTTTTTTATAAGATAGGGACTTGTTCAATCACCCAGGCTGACCTTGAAGGCTTTGCTCTGTAGACAAGCAGGCCTTGAGTCTGTGACTTTCCAGCTTGAGCCTTCCTGGTAAGGATTACAAGCCTATGCTGCCAGGCCCAGCTCAAATCTATGTTCTTAGCTCAGGCTGAATTTGAAGAGTAAAACTTGCTCCCAAAGGAAGGCCTGTCACATCAGGTGCCCTCTTACTAACTGGGAGGCGTTGGATAGTCACTCGGGGCCTCGGTGTCCTACAGGAAAAGGGGTGACAATTCTTTTTTTCTAAAGCCATTCTTCTGACATTGATGGTTCCAGGCTGTTAACCCTAAGGACACTGGACATATAATGGGATACAAGCAGATTAGGAAACCCTATGGTGGCTGCATGTGGAGTGATCTCAGCAATGCTTCCTTCCCCACACATCTTATTTTGTATTTTCTAACCAGTTCAATGCCTCCTTTCCCTCTTTTCTGTCTTTTTAAACTTTCTCTCTTTCTTTCTTTCTTTCTTTCTTTCTTTCTTTCTTTCTTTCTTTCTTTCTATATCTACCTATCTTCCTTCCTTTCTTTCTTTCATATTTTTATTTTTGAAGAGGAAATGCTCACGCCTCAGCACGGGAGAGGTGTGTGTGCACGCCATAGCATGTCACAAGTCAGACATCAGTTTTCCAGAACTGGTTCTCTCTTTCCACCAAGGGAGTTTTGAAGTTTGAACCCAGGTCTTTAGCCTTGGCAGCAAGCATCTTTACCCACTGAAGGCCATCTTCCTGGCCCTCTCTGAGAGTCCTAAATGGGACTTGACATAAGAGGCTGCTTACAGCACATTAGAACTTGAGAAGTAGTTGCTCTGGTGGGGTGAGTATCACAGGTAGGCACTCTTCGTCCCATTCCAGACCTTTGTGAATGCCAGGGTCTTGAGGCAGTGATTCTCAACCCCGTGTGTGGTCAGCACCCCATCCAGCTACGAGCTTGTTCCACCCAACAGCCCAGGTTTGAAAGACGAACTGCCAGGGCCAGGGGATCCTGCCTATGATCCCAGCACTCGGCAGCAGAGGCAGGCAGATCTCTGAGTTCAAGACTACCCTGGTCTCATAGTGAGTTCCAGGCCAAGGCTACCTAGTGAGACTTTGTCATCCTCCCATCCCTCCAGAAAGACAAAGGACTACCATCTCAAGACCACAAGTCTGTTGCAGGCCCAGAGATACCAATTTAGAAGATACCTTCACCAATCTTGATCTGTAAGTCTTAACCAGGGAAGGGCCCTGAATTGGGGACCCTGGGAAGAGAGCAGAGCAAGAAACAAGACAGCTCACAAGGGACCCATGGGTGAAGCAACACCAAAGGGCCAGGAAGCCTCCCCAGTTCCGAGCTCACCCAGGTCTGTTCACCTGTCATGAGATCGAGTCACTGCCACATGTACCTCCTATAGTCCCCTTAAAAGCTACTCAGTTGGAGGGGCTGGGACAATGGCTTGGTTGGTAAAGTGGCTGCCACACAAGCATATGGATCTGAATTCAGATCCCCAGAACCTGCAAAGAAAACAAGCTGATTCTTGGAATTCTGGCCAACCAGGCTAGCTGAACCAATGAGCTCCTGACTCCCTGAGAGACCCTGTCTCAGAAAAAAAGGTGGGAAGCGATTAGAACAGATACTTACTGAGTTCTGGCTTCTACACACACAAGTCACTGACCCAAAAAGTAGATGAGTTCCTGGGTTACTGACCCCTGTCCTCCTGTCCACTGCCAGCGAAGCCAATGAGTCTCTGACACGCAAGCTAGCAATTTCCAAGGACTTCACCACACTGACCCCTTCTCACAAGCATTGAGGTAGGTGGGCTCTTTTACAAATGCATCATTCAGAGAGTTAATCTGAGGCCATTTGGCTAAACTAGAGTCTTGGAGAGAAAGAAGGACCTAGAACAGTAACTGAAAATTACTGAAAATTAGACAGTACAACTGGAGACTGTCTTGTGGCCAGAAGGCTCTTGCCATACATCTGGCTTTACCCCAGGGCCTGACATATTTTACTCTCATGATGGCTCTTCAGAACAGTGGCCATTATCTCTTCCTACTAAGAAATGAGACCAAAGGGAAAGACCAAAGGTCAGTAGTGAGACATGGGGTAGCTCCCACATGGCAGCAATGCCCCAGGGTATTAGCCCCAGGCTGTTCCACGGGGATATAAGATCCACTTCATGAAGAAGTGCCCTTTACAGGTGCCCTGCCCCATTCTGCAAAGATTTTGGGCCAAGTAAGCTAAAAATTGCCCATCCTCACTGGCCACAAGACAGTCTCCAGTTGTACTGTAGCCCAGAGACACCCCCCCAACCTAGGTTGTCCACAGCAGTCTTCTCTGGCTACAAGCCCAGTGGCTCTTGAATGCTCTTGCCTGAGTCTTCATGTAGGTGGAGGACATTCCATCCTTCCAGCTCTGCTTCTTCTCACTGTCACACCACATCCTGGAAAGAAAATTTTATAACAAGGACACCTGTGGCCCAACAGTGACTAAAGAACACCTACAATCCACCAGTGACTCCATGAAGGAGTTCCCCTAGATGCCACAGCCTTCCCTTATACAGCTGGTTGAGGTTTCTCATCTGTGACTTGTGGAATGGAGGTGAGGCTCAGGGCAGTGGAGCAACTTCCTTCTGATCTCTGGGAGTAAAGACAATTTTGTTGAACACAAAGTCTATGTGGCACTTCATCCAGATGTACCAGTGACACTCAGAGAGGCCTGATCTTTGTATGGAGGGGACATCTAGATCATGAAGGACGGCTGTCAGCTCCCACAGCATGCCTTTAATACCACAGGGTAAGGAAGTGCCCTGGGCTATGCTCATCCAAGTAGCCCCTGCTTCTTCCTTCCCAGAGATGGAAGAAGAGAACCCCAGTGGCCCTTGGATTAATGAGCTGCTTCATCACAAGCATGAGACCACATCTGAGCACGAAAGACAAGAGGGGCTGAGGGGTCAGGCTCTGGCTGGGAGCAAGGATGAGAGACAGGCTCACCTATGTTTTTAGCCCACTGGGCAGATAGGCCCAGCCTGCTGAACACTGTATACAGATACTAGGAAGAGCCATTCCTATCCTCCCTCAACGGGTTTGCTTTCCCCATCAGCACACCAGCCTAGGTCTCTTTGGTAGGCTAACTGAGTTGGATCTGGACCAGTGAAAGACCACTTGAATATACTATACACTCTGAAGGCCCTTTGTTCCCTGCTGCCCTGCTCCAGGACTGATCCAGGAACTTATATGGGTTGCAATATGGTGCCTCGATAAAGGGTTCATGGCCTGCCACCTTGTCTCAGGCACAGCCCATGGCTTATGGAAGGGATGAAGCAGGTTTCAGACCCTTCAGAAACAAAGCCTGTGGGAAAGCCAGGGAGACAAATGGTAAGTAAACAGTGTAGAAAGCCTGTCTGTCAGACACAGTCACACTTAGGGCCAGAGCCAGAGCCAGAGCCAAATGGACAAAGACAGGTTACCAACACAAACTGGAAGAGAAGAGCTCCATGGAGGTCTCCACTTCCTTGCTTGGCTGTAGCTACAATCTGGCAGAATTAAGGCTGAAGTATGGGCAGGCTGTGGCTTATCCAAGCCCCTGCCGAAGCATACTGGGCCTGTGTGAGAGTGCCATGTATGTGCATGAGGCTGAGCATGCCTGTGAGGCACGATAGAAAGATAGGGAAAATTCCAGACATGTAAAGGAAAAGGACTTCCTCATGGTAGAATCTGGGTGAAGTCTTTCACCAGTGGAGAATTGGGGATTCTAACACACTTAGCATCTTGTTTGGGCCTGTCTCCCTTCCAAGCCATAAACTTACAATTTTCTAGGACTCTCAACAGAAATCTCTTAACCCCAGAAAAATCAACTCTCCCTTAGGAAGACCATAGCCCTGCTAGGGAGACAGCTCAGAGATTAAGGGAATTTGCTTCTCTTTCGAGGACCAGGATTTGGCTCTTAGCATCCACATGACAGGTCCCAACTCCAGCTCTAGAACATATAACATTCCTGACCTGTTCTGGTACTGCACATGTGTGGTACACAGACCAACATCCATGCAGGCAAGCACTCGCACACATAAAGTAAAAATAGCTGGGTATGGTTGCATATGCCTTTAATCACTGTGGAGGCAGAGGCAGGTAGATATATCTTTGAGTTGGAGGCCAGCCTGGTCTACATAGTGAGTTCTA